TCCCACACTATCATCTCCGTATTTGGATCCTCCATCCACCCCGAACCAGCTACCCACTCGCGCATTGTGTACACGCGGAACCAGCAAAACATCGACGTGACGATGGGTGTGAGCAACACCAAGATCCAGTAGATCAAGGTAACAAATGCGCGCTTGTCCGTCCAGACTTTCGGTGCGCGGTCTCTGGATTCGGCGAAGCGGATGGGGACTGAGATGTGGGCGGCGATGAAAGCGACGCCGAGGACTATGTACATGAATCGTTCTGGTGGCCAGGCTGTGGCGTTACCGAAGCCGAGATTGGCTTGGTTCAGGCGCGCTTGCTCTTCTGCTGCTGATCGCAGGTCCATTTCTAGCATACATGCTACTGGCAAAAGAATAGCGCTGTCTTGGCTCGAATGCTCAAGTGCATCATACGGAGCATAGTTGGCTTCCCTGAAGATGGTCAACCCGACACCGATAAAGGCCCCAACCGAGAGAATTAGTCGGAAAGCGGCTGCGAGTGGATTGCGCCAATAGGTCCGGACCAGCGCGATGGAGAAGGTGAGAACGGACAGCGCGATCATCATCTGACTAACGGCGACCGTAAAATGATAGCTTGTCAGCTTGCACTTGCTCCGGCCAGCAAAACCGAGAAGGAAAGCTCCGACGAAGATAGTCTGAGTGTCTGCAACGCCCAAGACGAATGTTCGGCCAGCTGCGCGCACTCTATCTTTCCATGTCGGATCCGCGTTCGGATTCTCGGGAGTCTTGTTGTTAGGTTTGTCTCGGAAGCTCGCGAAGGCGCTGCCAAATTGACTATGTGCGTCGACGATTAGTCTGGTTCGACAACTTACACTCCGATATACTTACGAGACATCTGCCCTGAACCAGAGCTCGATAAAAACGAAGATTAAGGAGATTACGACAACGACGAAGAACAGTACCATCGCGATCCATATCTAGCTATGTCAGCACAATGTCTGTGAATTATCTTCTTGACTTACTCCGATGCCAGCGATACCAGGCTGCGGCACCATTCTTCCCCTCGTAACATTGCCGATGGAGACAAGGCCATGGTCTCCATCAAACGTCAGGCTACAAGCCTGAGCGAGATCCACATCCTCAGCCTTGCAAGCCTCCACCACGTTGAACTGGAACCCACTTCCGCTCTCGCCTCTGAGGAAACCAAAGCTGTTGCCCATGTCGATCGATTCGGATCACAGTAAGGCTATGCCGATATGGATTAGACAGTCGCAACATCTCGCTACAGCAAAGCTTTTAACATAATGGACCAGGCTACGAGGCTGAACAGGGGGGGCCAGAAGATGCCGCCAAGCCCGTGAACACGAGCGGCTTTCACGACTGGACACTGAGCTTCGAAAGCTGAATTTCTGCCTCCAAGTTCGTCGAATATGATTGGGAGCCTCACCCATCGAGGATATCAAATGCGCCTCCAGCGGCAAACAACCCAAGGCCTCACCTAACACCGCCACCACACACGCTGTCGAAGACCAGGCTGAACCCCAGCCTCACACCACCACCTCCCCTTACCCCCAAAACTCCCTCAAATCCTCCGCCCTCCACTTCGTGCTCCACCCCGAAAGTCTCTCAATCTTCTCCAACAACCCCAAAATAGCCTTCTGCTCACTCTCATGGCTCATCCACTGCCCCGCGATCCACAGCGGCTGAATCGCATTCGTCCAAGCAGCATGATCGTCATTGCTAATCGAGATCCCACAAATCTGTCTCGCGTGCCAGAAGATCGAGTTGGGCTTGGGTGTAACGGTGGTGTTGGGAGGTTTGTGACGGAGCATCAAGATGCAGGCGGTGTGGTGGAGTTGGTTGCCGGACATGGCGGCGGGGTTGCTGTAGAGGAGACGCGGGAAGGGGGAGGTAGGTGGAGTGAAGGAGGAGATTGGGAGCATTTCTGCGGGGCGCGTGGTGTACCATGTGGATATGTGATACCAGAGTTGAGTCCAACGAGCGGAATATGCGGCATCTGGGTCTGGGGGTAAGCGTGGTGTGGCGCCCACGCGACCGGCTAGGTTTGAGTGAAAAGAGAGGAGATCGAGGATCTGGGCAATGAGATACACGGCTTCGCACGCGTAGACGTTGTAGCTGCCGACTGAACGGAAACGGTCCACGTCGGCATCGAGACCCATCCCTGATGAAGCCCAGTGCTCCACCGGTATAAGCGTCTTGGAAGACGCAATAAGCCCGCCGCAGACGTCCATACGAGCAAAGCACCAAAACAGCGCTTGGTCCACACCACCACTAAACCCATTAATACCCACAGCTTCTAGCAAGTGCGCACATCCATCCAGATGCTGATGCCACGCTTTCGCCGAACTACTCAGCATCTCGAGTACGCATAGCACTACGCATGACGCTATTACCGGCGTGCTGCGGGTGTGTAGTTGTGGGAGGACGAGTTGAATGGCGGTTTGGTAGAGAGCTAGACTGCGCGAGGTATGTTTACTGTTGTTTTTCCGCTCTATTTGGCGGGCTGAAAGCGCGAGCATCGAATATCGCAAGTGGTCGTGCGAGCGTGCCATGATAGGCAAGGTACGTTGGAAGTGGCGCTCCGGGTCGAATTTATCGATCCAGGGTGCTACTTCGTCGAGCCAGTTTTTCCATAGTTCGAAGTCCTCTTCTGCAGATAGCTGGGGCGGTGAGATGTTTGCAGTCTCAGGCTCATTGATGGGAGTGGGGTCAAGAGAGGTTTCCGTAACATGCCTCGCTGCATCTGAAGCGTAATTTTCTTGCACCCCTTCCCAAACCTGTCCAATGCGCACAGCATCCGGTGTAACCTCTCGAGTCGGCACATTAGATCTCACCTCCTGTATCAAATGGCTCCGGAACGTGGAATGCGCATCGAGATACGCTGAACCTGGGAGGAAGACGCTGTCGTCTAGATACGTAGTCGTGCTAGGACTGTGCCAAATCGATCCAATATCGTCCGGAGTGGGTAAAGGAATATACTGGCCCGGCTGGAGAGGATCTGTAGTGCTTTCTGGAGCCGAGAAAGGCGCGTTTGTGTTTGGTTGCCAATACGGGTGAGCATGATGCGATGGTACCTGCTCGTTGTCGGCTGTAGCCGGCGATATGGTGTTGGAAGGAGGAGTCTGACCATCATGAATGAATTGGTCTGGTACATCAAGCTCGTCTGTCTGGTCATAATGCTGATAGTCGCGTATAACTTCCGCAGTCACATCCTTAATCTTAAAGCGTGCAGGCGGTCGTCCTGGAGCGCGATGCAGCGATGATGGGCCGACACCTAGAGCATTCTCGGCCCGGAAGGTGAGGCGAGAAGCCCATTCGCATTTTTCGTTCTTGCTGCTGCAGCGGCTGCATGTGGGTTTCGTTTCATCGCATTTGCGTCTTTTTATCTTGCAATTTGTGCAGCTGGGATGTGTGCGTCAGCATTTGGTGGTTGTTGTGGTTGGTGTGGTGTGCTTTTGATTGTACGAACCCGTGTCGCGTTCTTGCTCTTTTGGTACCGCGTCTTACCAGACCGTCTTCATTTGCCATTGGACGTGGTGGGAAAGGGTCGCGAATAGATATGTGATAAGAGCCCGGGCCTGCCGGTCATGATCAAAGAGCGTTGATCAGCTGGGTGGTTGTACGTTTTCATGATGCAGATCGGACTATCACTAGTGGAAGGTACGATGTGGAGACCCCGCATCTTAGCTGCATCGCGCGCTGCACAGTGATGGACGGAGTTGCTGTCAGTCAGTATTTATACATCATCACTGTGAATCAAAGAATTTGTTACACGCGAACACAGCGACTTCATTGTCCATTCATCCGACAGCACGTATAAGGATACTACATATTTGTCTTATATCGCGGTCGGCTTATGCTACGCTCAAGAGGGCTTCACATAAATGGGCTCATTCCATCCGTCTCCTGCCAGAAAATCCATAACATCAATCCACTGTTATGTTACAGTACGGACAAAGGCAGTCGCACGTGCCGCGCTTCTCAGACTCGTCCAAGTGCGTCCAGATACCATGGAGTAGAACAGCCAAGAAGATATACCACACAATCTTCTTCGCGAAGTTTTGCGTTTCCAGACTGCAGCGTAGTTGATGCGCTTTGACTCTTTCGAAGGCTTCGTGATTACAATCGTATTTGACAAGCGCCCATCGCGTAGGATTGTAATCCTGTTCAAGTACGAAGCCAGCGTCTATGTCTTCTCTTTGATCGTCAGATTCTTTCCGAGGCTCGCCCGGTGGAGTTATCAGCCTCCATGGGTCAACAGGTCTCGGGGTAGCTGAGTCGTTGTCCCTCCAATGAGCTTGATCCTTCCATGCTTCTTGTTCGACAATCATCAGCTCTGAGTTGGAGGCGATAGTTGTGCGAAGGCGGTCGGACCATTCCGGACCAAAGTCCCTTTCAAGGGTTGACGGAGTTGGTTGCGATGAGTATTTCATGGTTGAGCTGATCGGAATGAAGAATGCCGTTGAGTGGGGTCTCACACATTTGGACGAAGCACATGATAGAGGTGATTAGAGTTGGCTTGCAACCATCATGGGTCTTGGGTGTGAAAGGGAATGTCGGTACTGAGCGACCATAGCGATCACGATATTCACACTTTAGTGGTTGGTCGCTCCACATGTTGCGCTGTGTGGAATTGTTAGATCAGATCAGGTGCGCACGTCGCGACTTGTGGGAATGTTGAGTCTGAACACAGTAGTGCTGCGAACGAGTCGCCGAGGCGTATTGATGAGCGCATGGCTGTTACACATCAACACCGCGGAAATCAAAGTTGTGGTGTCGCAGTTTCACCCCGCGCTCGGCACACCTTCCTCCCTCGCTGGTGGGGTGAAAGCGCCAGTGGGGCGGACCCTTCCGACGTCATGTTCGAGCTGGGCGCGCTCCACCAACAATCCGAACAAACGGACCTCTGTCGTCCGAACGCGTCCATAAGAAGGCCGAACCAGCGTTTTGGGGCCCCAATAAGCCAGATCACACGCCACAAGTCTCATCAAATTCGTTATCGCGAAAATTCAATCAAAATGGCAGGAGACGCTGAAGACCGCGCCGCGCTCGTCAACCGACAGCTCCCAGAGATGACACTGTCGACAGCCGACAACCCTCTCACAGCGCCTAGACCACCACCAGAGAACCTGTCTACCGCAGAGAGAGCGCAGTATAGGTTCCAGGTCAGGGGCAATGCGATCAGTACGTGAACGCCTTTAGGGTAACCCCACCCATCCCCGTCCACACACCACACACCAAGACCATCTTACTAACCACCATGACTATAGTCACCGGTGGCGCCGGCACCCTCGCCCTCGAAGCCGCAGCCGCCCTCCTCGAACACGGCGCCACGGGCCTCGCCCTCTGGGACATGAACCCCGACCAAGCCTTCGAAAGCGTCAAGAAACTACACTCCAAGTTCCCCCACGCGCGCATCATAACCGAAGCCGTCGATGTACGCGACGAGAAGGCAATCGCCTCAGCCGTTGAAAGCACTGTCAAGGTACTTGGTAGCATAGACATGCTCTGCTGTTTCGCCGGCGTGGTAGGCTGCACACACGCGATTGAGATGGCGGCAGATGAATGGCGGCGCACACATGATATCAATCTCACGGGGTCTTTCTTGTGTGCGCAGGCTGTTGCGAAACAGTTTCGTGCGCAGGGGACGGGGGGTAGTGTTACGTTTACGGCGAGTATATCTGCGCATCACACGAACTACCCTCAACCGCAATGCGCGTATAATTCGTCCAAGACAGCCTTGTTATCGCTGGCGAAGAGTCTGGCTGCGGAGTGGAGTAGCTATGGTATTAGGGTTAATTGTCTGAGCCCGGGGTATATGGACACGATATTGAATGATGGGGATGGATTGATCAGGGCAAGGAAGAGTTGGAATGATAGGAATCCGATGGGGAGGATGGGGCATCCGTGGGAGCTTACGGGGCCGTTGGTGCTGCTGTGCAGTAATGCGGGGAGGTATATTAATGGGACGGATATCATTGTTGATGGTGGGGCTATGGTGTTCTAAGAATGAACAGGATGTGGGATAAGAGACGAACAAGAACGCTTTGGTTACTTTCTTAAATCTCGACCTGTTAGTACTGCATGCATGTGGCCACCGATATTGGACAGCGCAACGAGTGAAGGTTAGCGGGAGCGTTCCAAAGCGGGAAACGAATGTGAATGCGGTAGTGAACTTCGCGAAGCGACGCATCGGCAGGTTGGACATATCAACGTGGAAGGCGGATAAGAATCCACCACGTACCATGGGAAGCAGGTGAAGGCACAATTCACCTCTTTCTATACACACCATCACCGCAATAAAACTCAACCACCATACATCCCCAACCCTTTCTCATTCTAATCTCTCAATAACCCTCTCTAAAATCGCACTATCTAAACCACGCAATCTTAATCTCACATACCCTCCTAGTATCCAACCCACACATTCCACACCGCCATCTCATACACACAATGGACAGCAACGGCCCCGGCTCACCTCGTGCAATTGCCAACTTCATAATCACCAAACTCACCGACGCCACAATCTACGTCCAGGATCTTATCGAGGCACGCGCTGAAGCTGAGCGGCGCCGTGTCCAGGAGGAGAACGACGCGATATCGAGAGAGGCGCGCAGGCGCGTTATGGAGTATGGGGATGCGGATGAGTCGTTGATGGGGGATCGGGAGGCGGAGGAGGGGAGGAGGAGGACGTAGGGGTGATTGTGGGGTTGGAGAGAGAGGGGGCCGGGGATGGGATGTGGATGTGGTACCGGCATGAAATTTTGGTGAAGGGTTATTGAGCGGAGTGGAGTGATGGTCGCGAACACCTTAATGTTCACAGGGATATATTCACGCACGTCATGAAAGGCTATTGGTTTGGTACGGAATGATATCAACGATCAACATGAAACTTACATAGCTACTCACTGTACCGTAGTGCGCATCATTCCCCATATCTACATCATGCCCCTACACATGGCTGAAGCAACTCGTTATCTGGTCAAATAACAACCTTCATTCTAACCGCGGCGCTGTCAAACCCCATGCCCAACCCCCTCTCAAAAAGACCTCACGTGCAAATCCCCATGCCCGCCCACACCATCACACACCGCCCCCCCCCCCCGCACCGGTCGCAGTACAGCACCTAACAGCACTTGCAGAGCTACACAGATAGCGAGACCGGAAAGGAAAGCCCAGTAGAGACCTATAATCAGATCCATAGCAGCGATATCTCCGCCTAGACCGAGGAGCGCTTGGTGTGATGCTGTGATGGCCATGCAGCCGTATATTATTGCCGTGGCTTGGGAGAATGTGAGACCAGTGCGGCTGTGTGGAAGAGTAGGTGGTTGTGCGATTGTTGTTGTGATGGAGCTGAAGGAACTGAGGGAGAGATGACCAAAAACGGGCGTGCTGTCGAGATCCTGGCGTATTGGCTGGGGAGCCACGTTGATGACAGGGGTGATGGGTGAGAACGAAAGCTCAGTCCGATTGCTAGCTGGAGATGGGTGCTTTTGACGGTTCGGCGTCTCCGTAGAGGGCTGTTCGACCATTTGCCGTGATGTCGAAAAGACCCGGGCACTTCGATCCGGAAGTTTTGGCAAAGCCATGTCTGCATCTGATGAATCGGCGAAGAGCGCATTGTTACTACGGCGTGGGATGTCGACGTCGAAATAGCTTCCGCGCGGCTCAGGTCCATTCCTCACACGCTTCACATCATCGGAGGGCCGTTGAGTACGTCCCATCGCCTCCCTCGCCTTCACCCGCGCCAGTACATCCCGTACACTAGCCGGATCCACATACCCAAACTCCTCTTCTACATCATCCGATGCCACCGACGGCGTTTTCGGAGACACATACCCTCCACGACGCGCATCAAAGCCCCTCCCAGCCCACTTCGACTTCCCATTCGAACTACTTCGCCACGCAAGATTCCCAGCCAGCTCTACCCTACCCTTCTCAAACTGCTCCCTTAACGCATCTTCAGCAGGCTCTATCTTACTCCCAGTACGTTCCTTCGCCTTAGGTGAAAATCTCCCCGGCGTATCCTCCTCAACCCCAAGCGTCGTTACACCACTACTTGTACAAATCAACCCCTCAGCATTATTCAAGCCAACCCTCTCTTCCTCAATAGGTGGTTCAGGAAGACCCGCTTCCGCCCACTCACCAGTAGGGGTACGCGAGGATCGCTTTCGTATGTTTCGTTCGTTTGAGGTTGAAGGAGGGCGGGCGCGACGGGCGTTTTGTTGGATAGGGACAGGTGTACGACCGAAAAGTTGGGCGCGGTCGAGATAGCCTGAATGTGTGGAGTTTGGTTGATGCTGATGGAGGTAGGCTCGCCGGGAGTCTGAGAGGGGGTATGGCTATGGTGATGGCGATGAAGACATGCTGACATCACCATGTCCACGACCGCTCAGAACAGGATCATACGACCGCCGCGAGTATTCTAGTGGTGATGAACCTGTAACCGGCGATGCGTACGTGTCGACAATGCCGGTGATATTCCGCGATGCTGAAGGCGTAGTTCGCTTGGTATGGGAGTTGGCCATGTTGTAATCCCAAGGCCGAAAAGAAGTACGGGGCTGGAGCCGTAGAAGTGACCGTGAGGAAGTTGAGTTGGCTGCAGTGATTGCCAAAGCACGAAGGTACATAGTGGGTTGTCCTGGTTTCGCGACATTTGAGAGTATATGCAGAGAGGACTGGGCTCGGAACGCGCCACTGCTCCTTTGGCCGTCGTCTGGTGAAAGCTGCTCTTCAAACTGGTGACATGAGTGAATACATCGCAATCGCGATTACCTTGTCCAATTAACGGAGGTTGTGGTGTAAGACCTCCAAGAGCGTACCCTGCAGCTTCATCTGGATCGCAAGCTGCTTGTACTGACGTGTCTATTCTCATTCCTCGTTACTGTCTAACTTCATCAATCTACTTCTTTCTTACCATCATCTCCACAAACAACTTTCCCATAATCCATGGCGCGACGTGATCAATAGCTCGCTTTATTCGCTAAGCTAAAGTATTCCTAATATTGTACATGACCAATAAAGCGAAACCCTCCAACGAGGGAAGAGGTCGAACTAACGCCATTCACCTCATAAACAACGTGCTTTTATGCACATCCATCATTCCCATCCCGCTAACTACGCAGGTATGGGAGCGGGAGGTTCTGGGCCGTCACCACCATCACCCCTTGGTCTTATCGCCGTGGGGAGTGGGTTATCTGGGATTTTGATGGGCGCGTCAGGCAAGGCCTTCAGCCGGCCTGGGAGGTCCTCGCCCTTGATGACCTTCATGATCTCCTTCTTGTCCAGCGTCTCGTACTGCACAAGCGCATCGGCTAATCTGTCGAGCTCCTTGCGCTTCGACAGCAGCAGCTCCTTGGCATCCTTTCTTGCCTCATCGATCAGCTTTCGCACCTCGTCGTCGATGATTCGCTTGGTCTCGGGTGCGACCATCTCGTAATTGGATTTGTAGTCGACGTTGCCAAGCTTCTCTGAGAAACCGCACTGAGTGACCATCATGTAGGCTATCCTCGTTGCGTTGGAGATATCGCTAGAAGCTCCGGTGGATACATTCTCCTCGCCATATACAAGCTCTTCGGCGATCTTGCCGCCCAGAGAGACCTGCAGTTGGCGTATGTATTGTTTGCGAGTGTGGTGGCCCTCTTCTTCCGGGAGGAAGAAGGTGATACCGGCAGCGTGACCTCTGGGAAGAATAGTCGCCTTGTGCAGATCGTTGAAGCCAGGCTTGTAGAGACCGACGAGCGCATGGCCACCCTCGTGGTAGGCGGTGTGAATCTTGTCCTTGAGCGGTACAGAGCGGCTCTTCCTTTCTGCGCCCATGCTGATCTTGTCCTTGGCCCACTCCAAGTCGTCGAGAGAGACGAACTTTGCCTGAATCTTGGAAGCACGGATAGCTGCCGAGTTGGCAACATTCTCTAGCTCGGCACCAGAGAATCCAGGTGTGCCACGGGCGATGGTAGAGAGGTCGATATCGGGAGAGAGGCGAATCTTCTGAGTGTGGTACTTGAGGATAGCCAGTCGGCCACCTACATCAGGGAGTTCCACCTGGACATGACGATCGAAGCGTCCGGGGCGAAGCAGGGCTTCGTCGAGAGACTCGGGGTGGTTAGTGGCAGCAATAAAGATGACACCACTGCTTTGGTCGAAGCCGTCGAGATCGTTGAGAAGCTGGTTGAGGGTCTGGCGGTGGTAGCTGGCGTCGCGCGACCGGCGCTTTCCACCTATGGCATCAAGTTCGTCGATGAAGACAATGGCAGGCGCCTTGCCTCGAGCAGCAGTGAAGAGTTCGCGGACACGCTTGGCTCCGACACCAACGTAGACTTCGTCGAATTCCGAACCGGACATGTAGAAGAAGGGAACGCCTGCCTCTCCTGCGCAAGCACGAGCAAGCAGAGTTTTACCGGTACCAGGAGGGCCAACTAGGAGTACACCCTTGGGGAGTCTGCCTCCGAGCTTGTTGTACTTGTCTGGGTTCTTGAGAAAGTCAACGACATCGGTGAGTTCTTCCTTGGCCTCGTCGCAACCGTGGACA